TTCCTCAGCCAGCTTTGCTGGCTGAGGAATTCTGGGAGTTGAAGTCCACAAGTCTTAAAGTTGCCAAGGTTGGACACCCCTGGTCTAGACGATACTTTTGGACAGAAACTATCAATTCAATACTGAATTTTGTATATTGGACACTGCAGACTCAAAGCACCCTGAGTGACTTAGTTTAACCTCATCTTAATATTCTAATCCAGATGACACTATGATGGAATGAGTAGCAGCACTTCATTCAGAAATCCATATTTTGCCTCAGTAGCTGGATTACAGTAGGTTTCTTATTCTATTAACAATTCTTCAAATGCTTCTCTGCCATCACTGCTATCTTCTTTTAACAGCCATTCTGATGAAAAAGCACAATCCAGTCAGTCAGTTACAGGTTGTAAAACAGACCATGAATTACTGCTATTCAAATGGATTAAACTTAGAAAATCAAAGAAAAAAGGTATATCAGTAAAATATGACTTAGAGGCTATATAGTTGAAACACACAAGGTCAGTGCATGGTACATATTAGTATATTTAAATTACACAAAACTAAATCTGACAAGGTATGGTAAGAAGAGTTCCTATGGAAACCAAAGCAAAAACAAATAAGCCAGCAAACCAAAATCCCCAAAATTTTACCAAGGAAAAGATTCAAGTGTCTTTCAGAACAAGCTGTCATGATAGCTGAGGAAAGTTCAAAGAAAGGAAATAAGGATGTATGTTGACTGGACACAGACATTCCGTATCAAAAAAGGCACAAAAAGTTAAGGTTGTGAATAAATAGGGGAAAGTATCAAGAAAAATAGCAGTAAAAAAAACCAGAAATCAAGGGAAATTTTTCAGCTCTGGTAAAATATTCAACAAAAAATATAGAAAATATCTGAATGGACAAAAGAGGTTCAAGGAAGATGAAAAGACTACACTGGGATCATTTACAAAAGAGATTGTAAATTGACAAAGACATTTGAAGGGAGAGAGAATATATTTAGGAACTAGCCCAACAAGAACATGACCCGATAGAAAAGCTTCAAACGGGAATACATCAAATGCAGATGAAATGCCCACTGAATCCTTTAAAGTTGCAGGAAAAGAGGCACCGGTAGTTAATGCTGACATCTCTACGTGAGGCTTAGACAGTTGAAAATAAAGTGTATCTACCTATATGGGGCTAAAACAGGGACATATAAAACTATGCAGAAATTACCAAAATCCCACAAGCTAATAAATAAATATTTAACTTTTTACAAAAAGCATCCATACAGGTAATCCTTGATCTACAACGACAGTCGAGCCCCCAAATTTCCATTGCTAAGCAAGAGAGTTGTTAAGTGAGCTTTGCCCCATTTTACAACCTTTCTTGCCACAACTGTTAAGTGAATCCCTGCAGATGTTGAGTTAATAACGTATTTGTTAAGTGAATCTGGTTTCCCCACTGACTTTGTTTGCCAGAGGGTCACAAAGGGGGATCCCATGACCCTGGGATGCAGCAACCCTCATAAATATATGCCAGTTGCCAAGCGACTGAATTTTCATTACATGAACACAGGAATGCCCGTGACAGTAGTAAGTGTGAAAACAGCTGTAAGTCCCTTTATTTTTTGTTCTGTTGTAACTTCAAACAGCCCTTAAATGAATGGTTGTAAGTTGAAGATTACCTGAACATGGAAAGAGAAATGCCAAATAAAAAGGATGTTTTTTTAAAAAAATAGAGATGTGCAAAACTTTTCATTTTTAAAGAGTTTCAAACATGAAATTTCATGAAATGTTCTGCTTCAAGGAAAAAATTATTGTTCTGGATTGGAAATATTTTCCAAAATGCTTGAAGGAATCCATTTTGGGCATGCAAAAGTCACTGGCCAATTAGACCTGGACCAAATAATGATTGGCACTTCCCCTGGATGATAAAAGCAGCAAAAGATACGGATGGTCTAATCCAGGGGTAGTTAACTTTTTTATACCTACCACCCACTTTTGTATCTCTGTTAGTAGTAAAATTTTCTCTAACCGCCCACCGGTCCCACAGTAATGGTGATTTATAAAGTAGGGGACAAAACCCCTACCGTCCACCATGAAAGCTGGAAGGCCCACTAGTGGGCGGTAGGGACCAGGTTGACTACCACTGGTCTAATCCTATCAGCCTTTCAAAAGGCTGTGAACGATTGCCTCTTTCCTCAGAGGCTGGGCCAGACCGTAGTTATTGAAGCTATAGTCTCCATTTACGGTCTTGGTATCTTCTCAGATTTTTAATGAGGAGACTCGACTTGGGGTTTTTATATGACTGTTGATATTTTTTATTTGGTGCCCAGAGTTTCAATACATAGATAGGCAACCTTATAAAACTGATTAATACAGTAGCCCTCCGCTTAAGGCTACAGTTGAACCCCAAATTTCTATTGCTCAGTGAGACAGTTGAGTTTTGCCCCATTTTACAACCTTTCTTGCCACAATTGTTAAGCAAGTCACTGAAGTTCAGTTAGTAACACGGTTAAGCGAATCCAACTTCCCTACTGACTTTGCTTGTCAGAAACTTGCAAAGAGGTCATCACATGACCCCGGGATGCTGCAACTGTCATAAACATGAGTCAGTTGCCAAGTGTCTCGATTTTGATCATGTGACCATGGGGATTTTGCAATGGTCATGTGAAAAATGTTCATAAGTTGCTTTTTTCAGTGCCGCTGTAACTTTGAATGGTCACTAAACTAACGGTTTTAAATTGAGGACCAGCTGTAAATAAAAATAAAGAATTGAATAAGCAAATACTTACATACTTTGGGAATATGACGCAAGTAGTGGATAATAAGTATGTTTGGCATATTTAGGAAAAAAGGTATAGATGGATGGGATTGAGGGAAGCCAACACATCTTATCAGATTTAGACTTTCCAGACATCCTTTCTTACCTGTCCTTTTACATATAACTGTTACTACTAGTGTATGCCAGTTCCAGTTCCTTTTATTTGTATGTTTGTTTTTTCTGTTTATTTTTTGTTTTTTTTGTTCCCACTGATTCCCGAATGTCTGCTTAGTTTGCAGATATAAATATACATATGTTTATATATTTCTCAGGAAATAAGAAGCCTGTGTCAGCATATAAAAAGCCTATTCATATGAAAGATCAATGGAAACCAGGAAATTGAAAGAATATGGAAAGAGAAGAAAAACGGGGAAATCTCAGGTATTTTGTTTTTTTGTATTTATTAATCAATGACAGTGACATGAAATAAGCTGTTGTAATGGAATAGGTGGATGACTTTGGGAACGAGGAGAAAAGATGCTACCCAGGAAACTATAAGAGAAGAGAGCAGGAGCCTCCTGTGGCTTAACAGTCAAAGAAAGAACATTGGGAGGGAGCTGCCCTAAAATATCAAGCAATTAAAAGTGATGGTGGGAAGTTTGTACTTTCAGACTTACAAGATTGTTAATTCATTCATCTGGTTGTGTTTCCTGATTGTCATCAATTTTGCGATGCTGAAAGTACTGTACAAAATTCCTGCCCCCACTTTTAACTGCTTGAACCAAAATTGGCAGATATTGGTGACCATTCATAGAATTTTGGCCAGCATTCTTTTTGGACATCAGGAGAGATTGTGAAATTGCCATTTGCAGTTGGGGCAGGTGCTTCTTGAGAATAGACTGCAAGAACCAAAGTTTTTGCAGTCGACTCATGAATTGGGTGGCTGGGATTTCAAGCAAACTCACAGCCATAACACAGCTTATATGGACACAAAGTTTGCACAAGCTTACTTTCTTAAAAATTTTCTGATGTAACTAATTTTGAAATATTTTGGGGGTAAAATAACTTTTGAATAAATTGGAGACCAGAGATATTTATGTGGGACTGATGGAAAGAGAGTTGGGGGGAAAAAGTCATAGAACTTTGTTGTTGCATATGATAACTGCTGCAGATAACTTGTTACTATAGTGGTAAGTATCCCCACCTGTCACATGGGAGATTGGCATTCAATTTCCCAACAGGGAAAGTAATAGAAGCTATATACTATAAGCAAACGGCAAAGGTAATGATAGAGGGAGAGCTGACAGACTCTATTAATATAAGAAAAGGAACAAGACAAGGGTGCCCACTATCACCTTTGTTGTTTGTGTTAACTTTGGAAGTGTTAAACACAAATATTAGAGATGAAAAGAATATAAAAGGAATGAAAATCAAAAAGGAAGAATTTAAGCTGCAAGCATTTGCAGATGATCTGGTTTTCATCTTAGAAGACCCTTTAGAAACAGCATCAAAATTGATAGAAAAGATAGAGACATATGGAAAGGTGGCTGGTTTGAAAATAAAGATAAGACAAAGATTTTGACAAAGAATATGCTATTAAGACAAAAGGAAGAACTGGTAGACCTATTGAAAATTCAAGTCACGAATAAGATTAAGTATCTGGGGATATATTTGACAGCAAGATGTAGTACATTTAAAAGAGAATAATTATATTAAACTTAAACAGCAGATAGCGCTAGATTTGGCAAAATGGGAAAACTTACAACTGCCACTAATAGGGAGAATCTCAACAATCAAGATGAATATATTACCCAGAATTTTATATCTGTTTCAAACAATTCCAATTAGGCTTGGAAAAGATTATTTTGAAGATTTAAGTAAAATTGTGTTGAAATATATATGGCAAGGTAAGAAAGTGAGAATAAAGTTAAAACTCTTGCAAGATGCTAAAATTAGAGGAGGATTTAGTCTGCCTAATTGGGAATTGTACTACCAAGCTACAAATCTGATGTGGGTTAAGGAATGGATAACACTAAGAAATGCTAGATTGTTAACATTAGAAGGACATGATTTGTTGTTGGGGTGGCATGCTTTTTTATGGTACAAAGGAACTAAAACACAGGGGTATTTTAGAAGACATTATATACGGGAGTCTCTGTGGTTAAACTGGGAGAAGACTAAAAGGCAATGTTATTTGAAAATTCCAGTCTGGTTATCGACTATTGAAGCATTTCCGTATCCTATAATATACAAAAAGGAGCAAACAGTTAGATATGGTGAAATACTGAATGAAACGGGTGAACTTAAATCTATGCAAAAACTAGAGGAACAAGGTATGAAGATGAATTGGTTTTCATATGCGCAAATACATTCAAGGTATGATAAAGATTCTAAAACAGAAGGTTTCTATGATAAATTGACTGATTTAGATAAGATTTTGACAGGTACTGATGAAAAGGTGATTAAAAAACTGTATGGATATTTATTAGAAATTAAATTAGAAGAACAAGTTAAAGAAACTATGATTGTTTGGGGGAAGAATTTTGGATATGGGATTGATCTAGATAAATGGCAAAAATTGTGATCTCAAAATTATAAAATAACAATGTCAACAGCATATAAATAAAATTTGTATAAGATGTTTTACAGGTGGCATTTCCCCCCCGACAAGAATAGCAAGAATGTTCAAGAATAAATCCGAAAAATGTTGGAAATGTCATCAGACACCTGGCTCATTTTACCGTATGTGGTGGACTTGTGCGGATTCCAAAAAATACTGGACTAAAATCCACATGTGGTTGAAGAAAATGACGAAAAAACACATAGACTTGAAACCAGAGATATTTTTATTGGGAATTTTACCTGAAATTTATAGTAAAGACTTGAAATATCTGATTGTAAATGTATTAACAGCGGCTAGGATTGTATTTGCTAAAAACTGGAAAAATGAGAAGATACCATCACAGGAGGAAATCATTAAGAAAATATTGGAGTGTGCTGAAATGAGTAGATTGACATTTGAAATTAGAGAACAAGAGGATAAACAATTTTATAAAATTTGGGATCTTTTTTATCAATGGTTAGATAACAAAGTACAGTAATGAAATATGTAGATTCTTAGAAAATAATAAATATATAAAGATGATACTTCTTTTTTATTATAACTACAAAATGATTTTAGGATAGATTTGGGATGATAATATGAACTGTTATACAATAAATTAAGTAAATTATGGTTATCTTGTAAAATATGAATGAATCAAAGTATAGTCAAAGGATTAATAATGATACTAAGGTATTTAGTTTTTGATTGACAATATGAGATTATATGTAATGTAATTGTAATTGAAGACTACGAAATGGAAGCACAAAACAATTTGTAAACCAACTGGCACACTGTATGTACACCTATGGAAGACAGTTTGATGTTTTTATGTTTTGTTTGTTTATGTTTGTTTTTAAAAACCAATAAAATCCTTTTTTTAAAAAAAAAATCCCCAACAGGGAGCTTTCAATGCTTCTAGGTTTTTGTGGTCTGTCCACACCTTGAAGGGGATTTTACTGCCCTCCAGGAATTGCTTTCAAGTAAGGAGTGCCCAACAGACTGCATAGGGTTCCTCCTCCCAGATAGTCCATCATCTCTCAGTCTCAGAGAGCTTGTGGGAGGTATAAGCACATGGCTGTAATTCTCCCTTTGCGTTTTACTGAACAATCACCGCCCCCACAGCCACATCACTGGCATCTGCTTATATTACAAAGGGCTCATCTTGGTCAGGGCTTTTAGGACAGATTCAGCGGCTAAAAGACGTTTGATCTTCTCTAACGTGGGCTTGGCACTCCAGTCATCAGTTTTGAGGTTGGCCAGGCCTGGGTTTAGCTTTCAACAAGTTTGTGACTGATAGGGCTATTCGAGCAGATGTTGCGCTGAACTGATGATACAAGTTAGCAAAGCTGAGGAAACTTTGTAGTTTTCTACTCGTTTGCGGAGGCTCCCACTCTAGGATCGCTGGGACCTTCCCAGGATCCATCTCTATGCCATTCTTCAAGCTTTTTTTAGCCTAGAAAGTCCAAGCTGGTCTTATGGAAATCACATTTGGACATGTATGCCCAATGAGGAAAAGAGTTAGTGAAATCTACAAAGGAAGAATGGTTGGTGAAGATGATGAACTTGCTGAGATAGCCAAATTCTCTTCTTTGATTAGAGAAAAGCCACTATCCATGTTAATTACTGATAAAAAAACCCTTATAGACTTATTGCAGAAAAGAGAAAAAAATGAACTTATGATTTTTGGCTTTGATTAGACAGAATAGATGATAGAAAGAAGGCAGACGTTTTGTAACTTTAGAAAAAGAAGGACATTTATAATTGTACTTATAACTGGAATAAAGAAGTTTGGAAGCCACTTCTTTGCATTTTTTATTTTCTTTTTAAAAAACTTTTTCCTTTCTTGCATTTCTAATGTTCTCTTTTGATTTTTCTTTTCCTGCCTTGCTTGTATTAGTTTTTATCTTCTTTTAAAAACTTTTTATAAACTTATTTTTAAAAGGGAAAACTGCAAGTTTCTATTAACAGACAGGCTGAGATGGTGAGACTTTGTTCATTCATTCACAAGGAATCAAACTTATGGTGCCATCTTAATAAGCTATTTCAAATTCATCATGTCTTTATCTCTCATCTGAGGGTGATATTCCTAAACTTCCCATCACTTCTTACGTAGATTATTTTAATGTTAAGATGTTAAAAATTTGCTTTGAACATGTAGCTTTAAAAACAGCCTAACTTTTTCTCAGGAAAAAAAACAAGTAAAATACAGAGCATCCAGCATAAATATACTGCATAATCAAGTATGTAAATTTACCCAGTTTTAGAGGAGGTGGAATTAATCAATAGTCAATTCTCCCTTTTAGCCTCCAGTCTCCAATTCCAACTCCTACACCTGCATATCCATTAGTTTGTTCAGTTTAGCATCCTCAATGGACACACATGAAACTATAGCGCAGCTAGGTCTTCCACCAACCCCTGCATGTTGGCTATGACTATAAAAAGGACTGTTATACCTATTCCTTTTGCTTTTTATCATAAAACTTACACAATAGTTAGGAACTCATAACTGTTACCAGCAAACAGTTATATGTTGTAATTTGTTTACCCATATTATTGCTAAGCACAGTATTAACATTTAATGAAAATATGCCTGTATTACTTACTACTAAACTGATCTGTTAATCTGTCTCAGAAAAAACACGTTTTGGATTAAAACAGACCAGCATCTTTTTAGGCAGGTGCCATTTTGGCATATCTAATTTATGAGATTTATCCCCACTTAAACCCTTCATGGACTTCAGGAAGTTGATATAGTAATATTAAATGAAACAGTGATACTAAATACAAAGCTATGATACAAAAATATTTTAGATACCACATTATTTATCCCAAATTCAATAACCAGTTAAGACTGAATCATTCATTACTCATCTTCATTAATTACAAGTTCAATTTTAAGTTTTCTTTCTATAATTTTAGCTCTAACAACCATTTTAGCATTAATAGCACTTTCTTTATTATAAGTGTCTAATCAATAGTTTCCAAATAGTGGGCCATAGACTCTGAAAAACTGCAGTCACTGCAAGAAGCCCACAATACATATGAAACATAAAAAACCCACTTACACTGGTTTTTGGGTTGTTGGTTTTTTTTTTGCTGGGAGAGGTACTTACAAAAAAGAAGGCAACTTCACTGCCTTGAAGTGGAAGAGAGCAAAATACTGGGCAGATCTAGGAGGAGACTAAAAGAAATAACGGCAACCATCTCTCCTTTTTTCCCCGCTGGGTAATGCTAGTATTTCTCTTCCTCCCAGCATGCAAGTCTTCCTGCTGTTGCCACACTCAGTGCATCATGGCTGGAGATTGCCCATAAATGCTCTTGCCCCATACTAGTGATATTACTGTACCTATATTCCCCCTCTGCTTTCTTTGCCTCCCAGAGGTATCTCACCAGGCTTCTTAGGCTTCTTTCATCTGCTTCAGTTTATTTATTTATACTTCTTATTTCTAAACTGCCCATCTCCTTCAAATGGGGACTAAGGGCAGCATACAATATAATACGACCGATAAATAAAACATAAAAATATTAAAACTAAAATTAAATTACAATTAAAAATTATAGAATAGTGACTATTCAACATCAGAAGATTTTTAAAAAGTTCGTTCTTATATTTTCCTTCTCTCATAAACTGACAATCTCATTCTCTGGTACTATGCTATGCTTCGTCATTTGACTTACCGCCAGAGCTGCAGAAGTAGAGGAGCTCACACCTTCTTAGTTGTATCACCAAGCATCTCCACAATTAAAAGCTCCTAAGCCTATCCAGCAGGGGTGGGATACGACAGAGTTAACTACCGGTTCGGGATTTACGAGCTTCCCTGCAGGCTGCACGCCTGTAAATTGTCATCAGCAGCTGCCTGCCGAGAAGCAGCCTTTGAAACAGCCCTCTTTTCCTGCTTTTCTAACTGCAGCTGTGTCTCGTTTGGCAGCTGAAGTTGAAAACTCAGGAAATAAAGATCAGGTAAGAGCCCAGGTGAGTGGGTGGGCAAAAATATCAGCAGACATTGAACCGGTTCTATGTCTGCTGCTCTTCAGAGCTACCGGTTCTACAGAGGTGGACAGAACCGGTAGAAACCCACCCCTGCTGTCCAATCACCTGAGTGACAAGCATGGAGGTCTCACTAAACTCCAGCATTTCATGCACTGGCCACCATTGCCTAGCAGAAACAGCTTCCATGATCAAAATTCAAAGACAGTTGGAGTTTCCTTGTAAGGATCAACTTGGCTAACCGCAGATACCTATGACTGTATTCCAATGGTGTAGTCCAAAATGAATGAGATAACAACTCTGTTAGCTTTTTCATGGGGTTAAAAAGCTAAAATAGCTTTAAAAAATCTTGTACTTATAAATGTTAATACCTGTTGTACATATCAGCCATCATCTCCACTTCCAGCTCAGCTGCCAGCTGCTGAGCCCTCAGAGGATCCATAGCAACTTCAAGTAAATGGATTTTTTATAGCTGGAGAACACAAATATTAGAAGCTAGTAATTCTATCAACATAAACATATGCACACTCGCATTCACTAACTCAATAAAATTGTACATGCTCAGTATTTTAGAAACCTCTTTCAATAACCTAATCCTACTGGCTAATAAAATGTGAGAGTGCATCAATCACTTCAGGTCCCATTTCCCACTTTAACCAATCAATGTCATGGCAAGAAAAAGCCATCATATCAACTCTTGAAGCAGAAAGAGACGGGAGTTAAAAAGCCTCAGAAAGGAAAGGAGAAGAATAAGGTGGCAATTACTTGGGTAGAAATTAAATTTTAACTTGTACACATTGTCATCTTGCATTTTATATTTTAAAAAATGTATGTCATATATAGTATGCTTTATTTTAATCGGGATGCTTCTGACACGAATAAACAAACTTGATAGGAGGAAGGGCTTTCTCTCTTAATCGTCTACTTTTGTGCACTTTTGTTATATTGGGAAAAAAAATAAATGAAATTTAGGTTAAAAAAAGACCTGAAGTAGAATGACGGAAGCCCGAATCTCAAAGCTTTTTCGCTCAGGGTGAGCTCGTTTGGCGGCTATTTGCTGGCAATGGTGGGAGGCAGGCGCGTCTTTTGACTAGCTTCCCTTATGAAAGTGAGCAAACCCATTGGTGTTTCCAACCCTGCCTTCCCCTTTTTTCCCCAATTCCTGTGCCTGCAGCCTCGCCTCCACCAAAAAGACCCCGCTCCATCCTTTTTCTGCCTCTCCAATCAACTTCTATATAAACCGCACAACAGCCTCCCGCTCTCCTCGCTATCAAAACTCACCTTCGGCCCAGGTACCAACCGGAAGCACGAGGAAGCAGCACTTCCGCCAGTGTGCCTTTGGGTTCATTCCCTTCATTGGATACCATAGAAACTTTCCGGACAGAATCTGGCCTTCTCTAGGCAGCTGGAGAAGTTCTCGAATTAGCTCAGTCCAATACTGTACGACTCTTGACATCACGTGCCAGGCGCAGAGCCTACTGCGCAGCTGCAGTGTGATGGGAGCCATTTATTCCTATTTCAAACCATAGAGAGAGGAGGGAGCCGGGAGGAGAAGTCTGAGATATGGTGGCTAGAGCGTGGCTACCTGAATTCACGGCTGGCATGGCTTCTAGCTGGGGAATTCTGGGAGTTGTAGTCCAAGACGTCAAAGAAGGCTGTCCTGATGTTCCAGAGCATCGTAGGGAAAAGAGCAAGCCAGAGGGGATCGGGTGTTGTTGTTTTTTACTGAGAGAAGGGCAAAATAAACTAGACCTGCTATTTTATCAATGAACCTTTGCACGAGACGTGGGGCGATTTGTTGATCTTGTGGTCGCCTTTGCAGCAGGCGCTGATGATTCACTGTACCTAAGGCTTTTTCAACACCACTTTTCTGGGTTCGGGCGATAGACGGAACTCTAAGCTAATCAACCTGTTCGGGTTTCTTAGAGCATATAGAATAAAATGTTGTTTCCAGTCACGATAAATAACGCTGGCACTTTATTCTACTTTGATCAGTTAATATCTTTGATCAATTAACAAGTCTTCCCGAAGAAAAATAAGCATGTAATCTGCAAATATAAATTTATAGAATAACTTTATTGTCACTTTGAATGTACTCTAATCTGCATAAATTAAAATGAAATTTTGTTGCATACAGCTCTCAAAGGGTCACCACCTTCAATATGTACTACATAAACATTGTCACCTTATTTTATCCCACTTTTTAATGTGCATACAGAGAGAGATATCAACTAAAAATGTGAATTATCTTCTAGCACTTTGGGAATATGTCTATAGAAACACATATATACAATATATGGTGATATGTCAACATCCTCAAAAGCTTTTTGAAAACCAAAATATTTCCAAATCCCTCAAGGCTCTTGAGTAAATTTAGAGATCATGGGATAAGAGGATCTATATCTTTATAATTACATAATCTATCAAAATCAGAAAACAATGTGTAAAAATCTGAAAACTCTGTAAAAAATAAATAAGAGAGTTTGCTCAGTGGAGAGAAATAAGAACTGAAGTCCATCAAGAATATATTTTGGGATCAGTGTTTTTTTAAAAAACAAATCTCCTTGACTTAAGGGTGACAGCAAGGCAGCCAAGTTTACAGTTGATCCCACTTGGTAGTTATTCAGGGAGATGTTTTCGAGCTGATGTAAGACCATCATCTACCAGGGATACTTTAACGTGAATTCCTGTATAATTCAGATACTACAGATCCAAGCTCAGTAACCCTAGAAAAATCCTAATTGTTGCATCGTAATGTTGGGTTAATGTTAATAATGTTTATTGTCTAAAAAGGAACTGCACTAGTTAACCTGAATACAACAAAGCAATGTACTTTTTCTATTCTATGGGCTTTAAAAAATTTAGTTGAAAGAACTATTCAACTCATTGAGCCTCTTCTTCCTAGTGTTATTCTTGCGCTCGTGTTATTCAACTTATTGGATCTACTTCTATATAAACATGCACAGAATACTAGATTTCAATCTATTTTTTCACCTAGTTATTTCACCTTGGGCAAGTGTATCATCCAAAGATAACTGAAAATTTAATATGATTAAGGACTGATAATTGTACTGAATATATTTGTTGGTTTGAGAGAAAAAAAGATTGTAAGTTGACAACTTTGGAAACTGAGAATCATCTAAAACCTTTCCATCTGTCTCATCAAATATAAAGCCAACATTTTGGTCTCCTACAGATTCTTGCCAGCATGCTCATCATTATGCCTCCCTAACAAAACCCCATGGTGCACATATGTGATAGTCCCCTAAGAAAATATTTTATTACACCTTAATGCAGGAGAGTGACAGGTATTAGTCATGGAATCTGCGATAAAATATGATAAGGTGTTTGTTCATATTGGGCCAAAAAAGAATGAGATCCAGCACAGGCAGCAACACTTATTTTTTCAAAATGTTACATACTTGCATTTATTATTGCTTGAGATGTTGATGACATCTATTATACCAGCAGTCCCCAACATTTCTGGCACTGGGGACCAGTTTTGTGGAAGACAATTTTTTCGATAGAGCAGGGATGGGGGTGAGGGGTGTAGAATGGTTTCATGCACAACGTAGATCATATGGATGCATTCGCCTGCCGCTTGCACAGCCCAATTCCTAAAAGGCCATGGACTGGTACTGGTCTGTGGGCTCGGAGTTGGAGGGCCTTTTATTATGCTACTCCTAAACATTTTCATAATACCCTCTCTGGCCCTCATAAAAAGGCATTCTCAGTGACAAGGTTTTAAAAGTTATGACAGGAAAATCAAGAACATCCCTTACTAGAAATGCATATACAGGTATCACAGCAGCTTGTATTTTATACGTTATCTGCATGCAAAACTAATTTTTCTATTATTAACTACATGGGATGACCCCAGTCAGAGATTTTACATTGTTTATTGAAGAATCTGACTAGCAAAATCTTTGCAAAAGTTGTAAAACCTTCCCTGTTGCAACCATTAGAAACCATTGGTTCTGTGCTAAGCAAAGCCAAAAGAAGCTTTTGATTAAAACATGCTACATTTATTTTGTAATGATTTTTCACCCTTGATAATTAGCTTTCAGATACCTTGTTCTAAGATTTATATTGAATTTGTCTGTGACCATAGAGCAAACAAACAAATTGTACTGATATCTCTGAAAATAAGCTGCAGGAAACTGTTCATGTTGCTATATTACACTGCCTGCATTGACTAAGCTGCCCAAATCCTGTCTGGTGAACTCTTTCCTTAGATCTAGTCTCAGGGTAATAACTTCCCTGGATAAAATGGCATCCAGGGCTAATGCCAGCTAAGGAAGGTGTTCCAACATTTCTGGAATTTAAACCTAGGGCCCAGACTGATATCTTTGTAAATTATGTCCTGAGAGAAGAACAAACTGCGGCTCATTTTGTGAAGGGCTATATCTGTCCTTTTTTCCTTTGTGCAAGGAAGCAACTTAGAGGGACAGATTGTCTGCCTGATTATTTTCTGAGACTAGATGATTTCCTGACTTTGGGGTTTACTGTTGGTCAGCGCTGAATGAAATTTGATTTGCCTTGTGTCTGATTAGCTTCTGCAGTGGCAACTGATGTAAGCAGACACTTCATTGGTACGGTTCACGATGCAGAAGCTTTAAAACATCAGATAGCCTCTTTAAAAGTAGGCCACAAGAAGTTTGGAGACAAAAAGAATAAATTGGTCAGATAATTGACCATTCAGGCTGCAATGTGGGATGAGCTTGAGCAACCTGTATGACTTGTTATCTTTCTATATTCTGTATTTTGGTTGGCACAAACAATGATACCACATCAGGCAAGGGGGTTAAGAATGGAGCCATAGCAGGGGTGGGATGCTACCGGTTCTGCCTGGTTCTATAGAACCGGTAGCTCTGAAGAGCAGCAGACACCGAACTGGTTTTGTGTTTGCTGCCGTTTGGCCCACCTGCCCGCCCGGGCTCTTACCTGTCCTTTATTTCCTGCTTTTCCAACCTCAGCTGCTTTGAGCGGCACAGCTAAGTTTGAAAAAGCAGGAAAAAAAGTGGCTTTTCTAATGCTGCACACCTGCATGCAGCACTTTTCAGCTGTCCGGGCAGCACAGCTTAAAGTTTTTTACACGCACGCACAGCAAAACGTAGTCACCAAACCGGTAGTAATAACGGTTGAATCCCACCCCTGAGCCATGGCTCCTTCCATAACTCAAAAGAGGACCTGTTTCACAAGGAGAAGATTCTAAATTCTATTCCTGACACAAACATAGCAAAGGAACTCTATGGATGGGTGTTAGTTAATAGTCCTTGGGCAAAGGTGCTGCCATTCTGCCTCTGAGCTGGATTAATGGACAAGTAGCTTGACCTGATAGAAACATATTTCTGTGAGTTCCAACTAGATTTTAAGTTTCTTGAATCCAAATAAGTAAAAGTACACATAAACACATGCTAGTTTATAATGCTGGGACTATGCAATCTTAATTAGCTCAACAGGACTAAGATTACTGTTTGGTCCAAACTCTGCTTGTCTGTCAGTTGGATACTACTTTTCCTCCATGAAGAAAAAATATTTACAGAGGAATTTTTATGTTTTATGATTAGAATAGCAAACCTTGGAGGTGGACTGAGAGAATGTAACCTGGTCCAAAGTAATCCAGTGAATTTCCATGTCTGGGAGTGGACTTGGATCTTCCTACTGCTGGTATCATTACATCATACTAACACATAGTATTGTGGTCACTGAAAGTACTTGGCATTTCAATTAAGTATATTTAGTTCATTTCCATTGTTTTCCTTTATATCTACTTTTTTCCTTCGGTTCAATCATGTTTAATTCTTGAAAACTGCCTGGACTTCCTGCAGTTTTCCTGACAATTTTTTTTTTAGAACTGGTTTGCAATTATCTCCATTTTCAGGCTGAGAGAAAGTTGTGCCTAAGGCATGGAGTGGTCTTTCAAATTCTACCCTGATGCCTTAACCACTACATCAATCTGGCTCTCATCCTATTATTTAGGTATATTTATCATCTGTTAATTGATAACAAACTGTAATGTATCTAACAAAGGGGATGCTCATTTTTTATGTTCATCCATTATAAAATGTGTATAAAATATTCCGCAACAAGCATTTCTGTTTTTTGTCTTTCTCCTTAAGACTGAAATATTGTTGCATAGGACCTCTACAAGTAAATGCTCCCAGAATAGTGGGGTCAACAACATCCTTACATCTGGACAGCAGGTAGGGTGGGGTGGCCAAAAGGAAAAAAGAACCTGGCAATTATCATGGCTCAGCTTTAAATTGTCTTGTTAGCTGTTAATCATTTCAAAAACCTAAATAGCAATAGCAGATTATATACCGCTTCACAGTG